TTTAAGAGTAGGACAAGTAGGACAGGAGATATTGACCAAAACTTGTTGTGGGGCGCAACGGCGCCCCCCTCTGACTAATTGGGATGAGTCGGAGGGGCTGAGTAGTGGGTAGCAATAGGCATCTTACTGCCAAATTTGGTCGACCTAGGACTTACAGTTTAGGCTGGGCATTCAGTTTTACGGAAGAAAAATAATTATTGTTCAACCCTCAGGAGGAGTGCCTGAGCACGTCTGAATGGCTGGTTTAATAATTAAAATAGAAGCTTCATTGATCCTCATGGGGAAAACACCTTTACGTCTACCCACTTGCTTTACGGAGAGCATGCTGCGCACATCGGGCTGTCTAGCTCGAGTACCCACCGAAGCTGGGTTCGAACCGGCGACCCTCTGATTACAAGCATGCAAGTTTAGCCCACTGAGCCACCCGCTGCTGTTGGTAAAATGGGTGAGATCGCTGGACACCTTCCTACCTGATCTGGTAACTCATTTTAGCTGAATTGGCCTAGGTTGGTCTTAGTAACATATAAACAGTGGCTATAGCGCTCACGTTTGACTGATCGACACAAAATTTGAAGGGTCGCTCAGTGGTAGAGCCCTACATTAGTGAGAGAAATTTGGTAATGATTTGATGAAGCATGCCTGAGATATAGCTGTCTGATTGAAATGGACGTGGCACCAGTAGGGTCATGGTGTGGCTTTTGGCAGTACCTTACCGAAAGTTTAATTTTTTTTCTCTGAATCTTTAAAAGGACTGTCTCCTGATTTGAATGACAACAGACTTATGTAGGTGGGGCGAAAATCCTAGGAGGTCAACGAAATGACCTGTTATCAGAGAAATATAAATCATGTAAAAACGCAAAAATGGAGAACCAAGTTCTATATGCAGTTGGATTCTTCAGGAAATAGTGAATTGGACTGGCAATAAATTTCAACTGTAGGCTTGGCAGTTCTGGAGAAATAGGCAGAAATGCAGATGGGGGTGCTGTCATGCCCCCATCTGGCCAAATGAGATGTCCTTTACAGGGTGGGCTGAGGGTCAGAGGACAAATGTACCAGCTAAATTTGATTTGGATTGGTCATCATTAAGCCAGTCAAATTCCTGCTTGATTTTGATTGGCCGATGACAGCCACTGTTTCAGGACTTTTGACTGCCATTGTAGGTGACTGACCTCAGGCTGGGACCTAGTACATATCTGCCAAATTTCAGTTGGATTGGCCAACGCAGTCAGGAGATATTGGCAGTTTTTAGTTCTAGCGCCCCCTATGGACGAAATGCGGCCCGCCTTGGACCGTGTCCCCTGAATGGTGTCTTGAGATGGGATTTCAAATTTGGTAGAGGTAGGCCAAGGCACGGCCAATTTATAGCAGTCAGACCAAAACTGGCCAAATTTGTACATTGTTTGGGCGTGGCTAATGGCCGTAGGATACACAAATGTCTGAATTTTTTTTATTAATTCTTAAACAGCTCAGAGATCTGATTCATTTGACACCTCATTTGTCTGATTTGGTAGTACAAGCTAGGACTTTAAGAGATAAGAAGTATTTGCAAAAAATGCAAATTAGCAAAAAATCTAAGTAGGCGGAGCTTCATGGTCCCATTGACTTTTTGGTAGGGCATGGCTGTCTATCAGCAGAAAAAAAGAATTTCAATTGTAGGACAAACAGGACAGGAGATATCGACTGAAACGTGTTGGGGGGCGCCGCTGAGTCGGACGGGTCGGACAATCTGAGTAGGAATACCTAAATTTGGAATACCTGAGGTAGGAATACCAATCATCCTACCAAATTTGGTCGGCCTAGGACTTACGGTTTAGGCTGGGCATTCAGTTTTAGGGAAGAAAAATAAAAATAATAACTAGAAACTGCAGGCAGTTACGAACGGGTCCAAAGCTCGGACAAGTAGGACAGATAGGACAAGAAATAGAGAAATAACGGCGGAATACTGGAGGACTGTCACTGGCGGCAAAGGTAGTCGAAAATCAGGCAGAGCAATACTCTCATAACAGGATGGAGATTCAGTGTAGGTCTAATGTGATAGTAGATGTAGGACAGAGCAGGACTGATTTTGGTGAGATGGTCGTAGTAGTAGGTAGAAATTTTGATGAGATGCTTTTAGTGTAGGTGTAACACGTCTGTAGATGTTGGACAGAATGTAGAACCCTCTGGTGTAGTGCCAATGCTTGTCTTAATGTCTGTTTTAATAATAATAAAAAAGAAGCTTCATTGATCATTGTGGGGGAAATGCCTTTCTGTCTCCCTGAACTTGTTTTACGGAGAGTAGGCTGTCTCAAGAACCGACCGAAGCTGGGTTTGAACCAGCGACCCTTTGATTACAGACACACAGGCTTAACCTGCTACACCACACGGTAAGAGGGTTGAGATCAGTAGACACCTTCCTACCTGATCTAGTAACTCATTTTAGCTGAATTAGCCTAGGTTGGTCTTAGACATATATAACCAGTGGCTGTAGTGCTCCCTTTTGACCGATCGACAGGAAATTTGGAGGGTCTGTCTGGGTAACAGCCGTACATTAGTCAGAGAAATTTGGTAATGATTGGCTGAAGCATGCCTGAGATATAGAGATCGGAAGAGCGT